GTAGTAGATGCGAACCTCAACTGGAAACCAGTGGAGTGTGCGGAGGAGCGGGGTGACATGAGAGAACTTGAGAAGGTTGAACACCAGACGGGCTGCAGCGTTCTGGATAAGTTGTATATAATTGAGATGTACAAACTATGGCGTAAAGGAACGACGAGCGGATAAGAGGCAAGCCATAATTTCAATGAAAAGACAATGAGTCAACTATTGGTTCAGCACTCTTGAAATGTAATTCAGAACATGGGCCGTTCTTACAGTGTTCTCCCTGTACACCAAGTCAGAACCGTAGGATAAATAAAGGGGGCATATAAGCAGACAATGAAAGCTCTTACAATATTAGATGATTACATTTCTCTAAAACAGGCTATAGGCTACATGTGCACCACCAAGTCAGAACAGTAGGCTAAGTTCTGAGGGAGAAGGGGACCCAATTCTTAGGGTGAGATCTGTGCCGCTAACCGCTTACTACACAACACACTAAGTATTACTTTCTTAGCTACTGTAGACACATCTCCCGGGCATATTTCATCATTTATGCAGCAGCACACAAGACCACATTTTTGGACTCACCGTTGTGCTATGTTCACTTAATCATGGAGCGGTGGTCCTTCTTGAGGGCAGTGTTGCCAACTCCTCAGTAAGGAAAGTAGCGAAATGACCACCTAATTGGCCATGTGCATGTAATTGTGATGGATGCTGTAGGAGAGAGGAATAACGCTGTAGGAGAGAGGAATAACGCTGTAGGAGAGAGGAACGACGCTGTATGAGAGAGGAATGACGTCGTGGGAGAGACAAAAAGGGAGTAAAAAACGCCCACTATAAAAAGCATCTAGACATTATCTCACGTTTCTTTTAGACTAACGTTCAGTTTAACAGTGGAGATCTGTATAAACCTTGCTGTCTGTCTCTCTGACATTTGCAACATTGTTTCAATATTCAAATTCAATCTCCAGATGCCCCATAGTAATGAACATGTCTGGGACAGACAGGCAGGCAGCTTTCCTCAGACAGTCGAAATCATGAATAAGTATGATTTTTATGGATACAAAGAAATGTCAATTGAATAAAGGTAAAACGAAACAAAGTGCAGCTAGTTTGCAGTCTTTCCAGCTTCAGTTTGAAGCAGTGTTGCCAACATAGCGACTTTGTCGCTATATTTAGCGAGTTTTCAGACCCCTCTAGAGACACATTTTCAAAAAAGCGACAAATCTATAGCGACTTTTTCTGGTGTTATTGGAGACTTTGAGACTGTGACGTATCGTTCTTACTCTTCTCAACGAGCAGTGGGGGCCACCCCCGTCCCAAAGCACTCTCAGGCGGCCCAGTCCCTCCCAGCTGCAGTCAGAGCAGGAGATGTTCCCAGCCGCCGCTGGCTGATCCCGCCCTGGCTTACATTCAGGGCGGGATGTAAATGTAGGGTGTTTTTTACCCACTTTTTGTCTCTCCCACGACGTTATTCCTCTCCTACAGCGCCCATCACAATTACATGCACATGGCCAATTATGTGATGGCGTCATTTAGCGACTTCTAGGACAGCCAATAGCTACGTTCCTTACTAGGATGTTTTGTGTTGTTGACTAGCTCCTCTGAACAACAGTGTCCTGAAGAGAGAGCATATTTTCTTTGCCAGGCGAAATCACACCTGATTAGCTAATTGTTATGATGTATCCAAATATAAATCTCACTAGAAAACAGTTTAAACAACCGCAAATGCAGCTACTTTGCTGTTATTCTGGTTGTATTTATTTGATATTACTAAGTTAGCTATAGTTTGCTAGCTAGCAAGCAAGGGATAAGACCGTTGCCAGACAGAATGGCAATAGAAACAGAACAAAAATACTTAAAGACTGGGTCGCGTCTCTGGCAACCAAACCGATAGAACGAACGACCAGCCGGCTTGGGAAGCAACCTTAGATTTGTACCGGGGACTATATCTTGTGGATGAATGAAATAGTATGAATAAATCCATCAAAAATAACCTTGAAGCTGGTGTTTGGAGGATATATTGGCACGGTTTGCCATCCCTCGACTTCCTCCCTGGCCTAACACCACCCGTGCCATTATATCCTCCAAACACAGGCTTCTTGGGCATCATCACTTAAGTAGAATTGCATTAAATTATATTATAAAAAAGCAATTTTTTCATGCAGTGGCTTTTATTAGAATGGATATCTCTCCCTCCCTCCCTCCCTCATCCACGATGGTCCTGCGAATCCACACCTTCTGGCTACTTTGCCATGTAATTTTTACAAAACGAAGAACAGAACAGTTTCTAAACAGCATATCTAAGGCGCTGGTCTGTCCTAGGAGTGAGGGTAAATGGTAGGCATGTTCTCTGCTATCCACTTTATTTCAAATATTATTTTGGGTATAGGTGTCTTTTTTTTCCTCGTTCAGGTTGGGTAAAATATATAGTTTACTGGAGGGATGGACCATTCATTTTCATTTCTGAGATCCAATTTTCTGCCAGGTATCCCATCATTATAAATAACGTAGTCCCGAAGACTGAATTTAATTAAGGAGCTACCTCTTTCTTCAGCCTTGCAGACAAAACACACTGCAATGGCCTAATAATCATATTGCATAGGCTATATTACATGGAGGTGTACCCATAAATGTAGGCCTACGACGTTTAATATGCATTATTATAAATCATCTTTGTCACATGCGTTATTTGACTCGAGGACAATTACATGTTGCACTCTCGTTACCATCCTACAGATAGCAGTATTGAAGTTATTTTAAATAAGTTTTATCACGAGTCTGAATACATTTCATGAGGTTGCTCGTTGTTTGGATTTCCCACTGAGACCGACATAGGCTACTGGCACTGCTACATAAATAATCATTGCACTATAGAATAGGCCAGGGGTACTCAACTCTTACCCTACGAGGTCCGGAGCCTGCTGGTTTTCTGTTCTACCTGATAATTGCACACGCACCTGGTATCCCAGGTCTAAAATCAGTCCCTGATTAAAGCAGAACAATGAAAATGCAGTGGAACTGACTTGGGAGGTTCAGAGTTGAGGGCTATATTCCGTAGACGTGTAAACCTACACTTACATGTAAAACATTTTAGATGCCTTATTAGAATCATCCATTTCGTCAAATGCGTGGACCAGCAGTGAACTGTTTTCCAAAAGCTTGATGCGAAGGAGGACTCGAACCCACGGTCGTATGAGTCAACTGCTTTAGCGATATGGGCCACCAGGAAAGCGAATGGTGGTACCGGTACGCGACATAACTTTTGTTTATAACAACCCACTATCGACTTGATTTGTATAGATCTCCATATTTTCTCATTTTGACTACAATATAATTAAGACTAGACTCAATTTTAAAAAGAGTGCCAAAAATGAACACAGTGCTGAAGGTATGTACAGAACCTTGGGCTCATATTTCCTACATTACTTTATAGGGTGTTCACCCCATAAAATGATTAATTAATTCAAGGTTTATACAAATATGTCCATTCTACAGAGAGTTGCGTCAGAAAAACAACATCCCCAACCCCATGTCTCTACTCAGAATGTAGCATGTTTAGAGTGACTGGGATGTGGTCATGTTTAGAGTGACTGGGATGTGGTCATGTTTAGAGTGACTGGGATGTGGTCATGTTTAGAGTGACTGGGATGTGGTCATGTTTAGAGTGACTGGGATGTGGTCATGTTTAGAGTGACTGGGATGTGGTCATGTTTAGAGTGACTGGGATGTGGTCATGTTTAGAGTGACTGGGATGTGGTCATGTTTAGAGTGACTGGGATGTGGTCATGTTTAGAGTGACTGGGATGTGGTCATGTTTAGAGTGACTGGGATGTGGTCATGTTTAGAGTGACTGGGATGTGGTCATGTTTAGAGTGACTGGGATGTGGTCAGTGCTCCGCGGCAGAACGGCGCTACCTTTCAACGTCAACTGACCCGCTAACTAGCGGCTGCAGGTTCGTGAGTGAATACATGGGCTTTTTCTAAATGAAATCCGCGGAATGCAAAACAAAAAATGGGGACTAAATATATATATATATATTTTTTTACAAAGCTAACAGACAATTTCAATATCCACCCTCCAAAGACAACCTGTTCCTGTTTGATGGTGTATTTCTGTCTTTCCCGTAAATCGCCATTGAAACTAGCAATGGTAACTGCAAATTAACCTTCTTATTTAAATCAACACTGGCAAGTTCATTAAGGTTATAATATTGTAGTTAACGATTTAATGATTAATTCTACGTGATTTATAATGATAGGGCAAAGAGAACTACATTTTGACTTTTAATGTCGTAGCTCCCTCTTGACTTGCCCCATTTTTATTAACATTCCAGCGCAGTAAGCCCTATACTTTATATGTTTATTAGACTAATGAAATTACCAAATAAAACCTTTGTGCCATGGGCCTTCTTTCCCCAGACTTGTAGAGGACATTGTCAGGGAACAGTTGAACCATGATATGTAGATTCCAGTCACACTTGAATCAGTCAAATAAAGACTTCAATGAAACCGCAGTGTTTAGCTTCTAAAACATCAGACAAATAATCATGTCTAGGGTTGCAAAATTCTGGTAACTCTCCCAACATATTTCCTGCAATTCCGGTTGGAGGATTTCCAGATTTCTTGCTTATTCTCTCCTGATTCCAGGAATCTTCCAACCAAACACTTCTGGAATTTTGGAAAGTTACCAGAATTTTGCAACCCTCATGTCCATTGTCCCATTAAAGTGTTGTTTGTATTAACAATGCAAACTCATTCTGTCAAAACATCACTCACTCCAAGGTTACTTTAACCATTATGATTTTCCATATTATAACGTGCATTGACACCATGATCATTGTGTGTGGAGAGAAGAATTCTTCTTGAGTGACAGAAAGGTATGAAAATGTTCCAGTCAGTCACCATTATATTGGGCCTTTATAAGGAGGTGTCTGTCAATCTGGGTTGAGACACTAGCGCAGTTTCAGTCTCTCTACCCGGTCAACCCCCCTACTCTTTTATCCGTAAGTTACTAGGGGTAGATCTGGGCATTGGGGCTTCTCACTGCCTCCACCCGGGCGGAGGGGTAGAGTTGGGGGCTGGCAGTCGGTGAGGGAGGTGGAGGTGTTGATGTGCCCCAGGGAGCGGGAGTCGGCCCCCAGGGAGCGGGAGTCGGCCCCCAGGGAGGCCAACAGCAGCTCAGACCGGCAATGGAGGTGGAAGAGCAGGTCCTCAGCTAGCGTCTCCACACTGCAGTAACGCACCTTCTCCAGGTCAAAGATATCCTTCAGGAAGAACAGCACATGATCCTGGTGGGGAGAGCGGAGGAAGAGAATTAGATATAGACTCTTTGGGCCGGTTTCTAAGACACCGATCAAGCCTAGTCCTGCTTTTCAGTCCAGTCTAGGAAACCGGTTAATTGAGTAGGTGTTATGGAGACATGGAACATCCTTAAAAAAACAGATTGATTGATATGGAGTAGTGTTACGATGGCTGAGGCTCCCCTGACTTCAGCTGGACAACCTGATCAAATAAAAGGTAATATTATTCTACCTTGAAGAAGCAGCAGAAGTTGTGCAGGGAGGTATTGGGCCCTAGGAAGCCCCAGGCCAGGACAGGACTGATCTGCTCACACACAGAGTAGAAGTGGGCTATGAACCCATCACGCACCTGGAGGACGAGGACGAGGGTTTGAATACAGGCTAACCACAAAAGTACCATTTTCAAAAATTCCAGCAAAAAAAACATTGCTGTACCCTCATGTGTTGTCTCTTCTGCTTCAGCACAGACCAACAGCTAGACGCCACCGCCTGTCAACACAAAACACAACACACTGCAATGCTGCTAAAACATTCTCACCCATCACTGCCTATTCTAGACAGACTTTTTTTCATGGTCCTTCGAACCGGACACAACGTGGGTCTCTGGGCTGTAGCTGTCTACGTAGGGAGACGTAGCGTCTCCGACTCACCGTCTCTTTGAAGGACGAGTTGAGCCAGCGGTTGTTGACAATGTTCTGGATGGAGATGGGAGGATTCTCCAGGTCCTCAAATGAGTCCATCAGGATGAAGTCCAACACGACGTCATAGAAGTTCAGGTATTTCACCTGGTGAGGAGGAATAACATTATACACAGTCAGATCAGTGTGTGTTTGAGATCAGGATGAAGTCCAACAGGATGTTTAGGTGTTTTACCTATAACAGGGGAACATATAAAACACTTTCAGATCTCTCTCTGTGTGTGTGTGTCAGCGCGAGAGAGACAGAGAGAGAGAGAGACAGAGAGAGAGAGCGACAGAGAGAGAGAGTGACAGAGAGAGCAACAGAGAGAGAGAGACAGAGAGAGACAGAGAGAGCAACAGAGAGAGAGAGAGACAGAGAGAGACAGAGAGAGCAACAGAGAGACAGAGAGAGACAGAGAGACAGAGTGTGTGTGTGTGTCAGCGCGAGAGAGAGAGAGACAGACAGAGAGAGAGACAGACAGACAGAGAGAGAGAGAGAGAGAGAGAGATAGAGAGAGACAGAGAGACAGTGTGTGTGTGTGTCTCACCCCTCTCGTGGCCAGCTCCACCTCTGTGTTCTCCCAGTGTGTGTGTGTGTGTCTCACCCCTCTCGTGGCCAGCAGTGGGACAGTGTGTGTGTGTCTCACCCCTCTCGTGGCCAGCTCCACCTCTGTGTTCTCCCAGTGTGTGTGTGTGTGTGTGTCTCACCCCTCTCGTGGCCAGCAGTGGGACAGTGTGTGTGTGTCTCACCCCTCTCGTGGCCAGCAGTGGGACAGTGTGTGTGTGTCTCACCCCTCTCGTGGCCAGCTCCACCTCTGTGTTCTCCCAGTGTGTGTGTGTCTCACCCCTCTCGTGGCCAGCAGTGGGACAGTGTGTGTGTGTCTCACCCCTCTCGTGGCCAGCTCCACCTCTGTGTTCTCCCAGTGTTCCGGGTGCTCCAGGAAAACGATCATCTCCTCAAACACTTCCTCAAACCTCTTTGGGCTCTGTCGACCAATCACACAACTCCGTTAAGAATATTGGCCAATCACATACCTCCGTTAGAGTAGGCAAACACTATCGACCAATCAAAAACATCTGTCAGACAGGAGCACCCAATCAGCTGATCAAACCTCAAACCTGTTTGGGCTCTGACAACCAAATCAAACTTCTGTTAAGTATCAAGTTTTTATTGTCACGTGTCCAAGTACATTTACATTTTAGTCATTTAGCAGACGCTGTTATCCAGAGCGACTTACAGTTAGTGCGTGCATACATTTTGTATACTTTTTTCAAGTACAGTGAAATGCCTGTCTTGCTTGCCCTTTCCCAACAATTAGCATTATTAGCCAATAACAAACCTTAGCCAATCACAAAAAGCACCCACTCAGCTGATCAAACCAGTGGGACTATCCTATCACATAGCCAGTCAGTAACAACTAATGGTAGAAGTGTATAGTTTCCCCATTAATAGTTTCTCTAAAACAACTCTTACATTACTTAATAAATATAATTATTATCTTATCTTACCTTACGTGCTTTTACAATTATGGAAGACAGGATCTTCTTTCCGGTTTCAGCCAGAAACGTCCTCGTTGCTCTCTCACACAGAATCATCTGGAGATGGAACGGACCAATCACCAGTTTAGACAGTACTACAGTGGCATGCATGGTACGGTTTACCAGGATGTATTCTTTAGGAGTATAGAGGCACATACTTGACAGGCCTGCCGCACGCAGTGTAACTTGGCCAGGAAGTCGGTGTCCCCAAGACACTGCAGCAGCTCAGTCCTGGAAAAAAACAAGAAAACAAGGAATTATAGTCACAGACATTACTAGGAGTCAACACTGACCAGGAGGCAATAAACATTACTAGGAGTCAACACTGACCAGGAGACAATAAACATTACTAGGAGTCAACACTGACCAGGAGACAAACATTACTAGGAGTCAACACTGACCAGGAGACAATAAACATTACTAGGAGTCAACACTGACCAGGAGACAATAAACATTACTAGGATGTCAACACTGACCAGGGGAAATAAACATTACTAGGAGTCAAACACTGACCAGGAGACAATAAAACAGTACTAGAGTCAACAGGAGACCATAAAACATTACTAGGAGTCAACACTGACCAGGGGGAAATAAACTTACTAGGAGTCAACCTGACCAGGAGACAATAAACATTACTAGGAGTCAACACTGACCAGGAGGCAATAAACATTACTAGGAGTCAACACTGACCAGGAGACAATAAACATTACTAGGAGTCAACACTGACCAGGAGACAATACACATTACTAGGAGTCAACACTGACCAGGAGACAATAAACATTACTAGGAGTCAACACTGACCAGGAGACAAACATTACTAGGAGTCAACACTGACCAGGGGGAAATAAACATTACTAGGAGTCAACACTGACCAGGAGACAATAAACATTACTAGGAGTCAACACTGACCAGGGGGAAATAAACATTACTAGGAGTCAACACTGACCAGGGGGAAATAAACATTACTAGGAGTCAACACTGACCAGGAGACAATAAACATTACTAGGAGTCACACTGACCAGAGACAAACATTACTAGGAGTCCAACACTGACCAGGGGGAAATAAACATTACTAGGAGTCAACACTGACCAGGAGACAATAAACTTTACTAGGAGTCAACACTGACCAGGAGGAAATAAACATTACTAGGAGTCAACACTGACCAGGGGGAAATACACATTACTAGGAGTCAACACTGACCAGGAGACAATCATTACTAGGAGTCAACACTGACCAGGAGGCAATAAACATTACTAGGAGTCAACACTGACCAGGGGAAATAAACATTACTAGGAGTCACACTGACCAGGAAGACAATAAACATTACACTAGGAGTCAACACTGACCAGGAGACAAACATTAGTACTAGGAGTCACACTGACCAGGAGACAAACATTACTAGGAGTCAAAAACACTGACCAGGAGACAATAAACATTACTAGGAGTCAACATAGAGCAAAAACACTGACCCAAGGAGGCAATAACACATTAATAGGAGTCAACACTGACCAGGAGGCAATAAACATTACTAGGAGTCAACACTGACCAGGAGGCAATAAACATTATTAGGAGTCACTTAAAGGAAAACTCCACCCAAAAACTATCTTTTGGTATGTTTCATTAGTCCCATTGTTGGCATAGTCCCAAAATGTTTTGCTTGTCAGCAATGAAGTTAAGATATGTTACTTTAAAAATACAGAAATCATCCCCTTATAATGATGCGGCATCATATGACGCAAAATGCATCATACGGGGATGATTTCTGTATTTTGAATTCCAAGTTACATATCTTTCTGACAAAACAAAACATTTTGGGACTATGTCAACAATGGACTAATGAAATAAATACCAAAAATATAGTTTTTGGGTGGAATTTTCATTTAACAGGAGACAAAACATTAGAAGTGAGACGACACCACATCATCAACCAACAGGAGAGACAAGGTGCAGCTCAAATTAAAATAAATAAATAAATCATAGGAACTATAAGAAGAGAGAGAACAGTAGCCTCTCCGTCTCACCTGTGCACTCTGCAGGAGATCTCTCCCTCCTCAGCCAACTGTACGGCCTCCTCATAGAAGGGGTTCATAACTATACAAGACCCCAGGACATAGGCACTACACCGCTCCCTGTGCTGCTCGGACAACAGAGAACATATGGTTAATAACTATAGACATAGGCACTACACCGCTCCCTGTGCTGCTCGGACAACAGAGAACATATGGTTAATAACTATAGACATAGGCACTGCACCGCTCCCTGTGCTGCTCGGACAACAGAGAACATATGGTTAATAACTATAGACATAGGCACTGCACCGCTCCCCGTGCTGCTCGGACAACAGAGAACATATGGTTAATAACTATAGACATAGGCACTACACCGCTCCCTGTGCTGCTCGGACAACAGAGAACATATGGTTAATAACTATAGACATAGGCACTACACCGCTCCCCGTGCTGCTCGGACAACAGAGAACATATGGTTAATAACTATAGACATAGGCACTACACCGCTCCCCGTGCTGCTCGGACAACAGAGAACATATGGTTAATAACTATAGACATAGGCACTACACCGCTCCCTGTGCTGCTCGGACAACAGAGAACATATGGTTAATAACTATACATGTGGGTTACAAGGGTTAGTGGCACCGACACCCCAGGATATGTAGGCAGTCGCAGCTCCCTGTGCTGACAAGAGAGAGATTATACAGCGCCTTTGAAAAGTATTCAGACCCCTTTTGATTTTGTCACATTTTATTGCGTTACAAAGTGGGATTAAAGTTAAATTTAAATTGTTATTTTGTCAACAATCTACACAAAATGCTGTGGTCAAAGTGGAAGAAAAATTGTCACCAAAAAAAAAAAGAAGATGAATAGAAATTAAATAACTAAAATATAGTCGTTGCGTCAGTATTCAGCTCCCTGAGTCAATACATGTTAGAAACACCTTTGCCATCGATTTCAGCTGCGTCTTCTTGGGCAAGTCTCCAAGAGCATTGCACACCTGGATTATTATACACTGCTCAAAAAAATAAGGGAACACTAAAATAACACATCCTAGATCTGAATGAATGAAATAATCTTATTAAATACTTTTTTCTTTACATAGTTGAATGTGCTGACAACAAAATCACACAAAAATTATCAATGGAAATCAAATTGATCAACCCATGGAGGTCTGGATTTGGAGTCACCCTCAAAATTAAAGTGGAAAACTACACTACAAGCTGATCCAACTTTGATGTAATGTCCTTAAAACAAGTCAAAATGAGGCTCAGTAGTGTGTGTGGCCTCCATGTGCCTGTATGACCTCCCTACAACGCCTGGGCATGCTCCTGATGAGGTGGCGGATGGTCTCCTGAGGGATCTCCTCCCAGACCTGGACTAAAGCGTCCGCCAACTCCTGGACAGACTGTGGTGCAACGTGGCGTTGGTGGATGGAGCGAGACATGATGTCCCAGCATTCAAAAGTGACCAAAACATCAGCCAGGAAGCATAGGAACTGAGAAGTGGTCTGTGGTCACCACCTGCAGAACCAGTCCTTTATTGGGGGTGTCTTGCTAATTGCCTATAATTTCCACCTGTTGTCTATTCCATTTGCACAACAGCATGTTACATTTATTGTCAATCAGTGTTGCTTCCTAAGTGGACAGTTTGATTTCACAGAAGTGTGATTGACTTGGAGTTACATTGTGTTGTTTAAGTGTTCCCTTTATTTTTTTGAGCAGTGTATATATATAGAATACAGTGAATCTTGAATCTTTTTGAAAAGACGAATGGGCAAATATTGTATAATATATATATATATATATATATATATATATATATATATATATATATATATATATATATATATATATATATATATATATATATATTACAATATTTGCCCATTCGTCTTTTCAAAAAGCCCCGTCAAGATTTTGGGGATCATGATTAGACAGCAATGAAGTCAAATTTAACTTTGCCAACATTCACTGTATTCTTGGTAAGCAACTCCATTGTATATTTGGTTTTGTATTTTAGGTGATTGTCCTGCTGAAAGGTGAATTTGTCTCCCAGTGTCTGGTGGACAGCAGACTGAAGCAGGTTTTCCTCTAGGATTTTTCCTGTGCTTAGCTCCATCCCGTTTATTTTTATCCTGAAAAACTCCCTAGCATTTGCCGATGTCAAGCATACCCATAACATGATGCAGCCACCACCATGTTTGAAAATAAGGAGGCAGTTATTCAGTGACGTGTTGGATTTGCCCTAAACATTAGGCTTTGCGTATTTAGGCCCCCAAAAAAGTTTACTTTAGTGCCTTGTTGCATACAAGATTCTGTATATTTGTATTATTTTCACTTATTATTGTGGAGTCACTACAATGTTGTTGATCCATTCTCAGTTTTCTACCATCACAGACCAATGACCTTATGTAACCTCCCTGACCAGTTTCATTCCCGCCCTGCAGCTCAGTTCAGAAGGAAGACTATCTTTGATGTGTCTGGCAGTGGCGGTTGGTGCAGTGTTTTGATGAATACTTTTTTTTTAATGTGTTTGAGCCAATCAGTTGTGTTGTGACAAGTTGGGGTGGTATACAGAAGATATCCCTATTTGGTAAAATACCAAGTCCATATTATGGCAAGAACAGCTCAAATAAGCAAAGAAAAACAGTCCATTACTTTAAAACATGAAGGTCAGTCAATACGGAACATTTCAAGAACTTTGAAAATGTCTTCAAGTGCAGTCGCAAAACCATCAAGTGCTATGATGAAACTGGCTATCATGAGGACCGCCACAGGAAAGGAAGACCCAGAGTTACCTCTGCTGCAGAGGATAAATTCATTAGAGTTACCAGCCTCAGAAATTGCAGCCCAAATAAATGCTTCAGAGTTCAAGTAACAGACACATCTTAACATCAACTGTTCAGAGGAGACTGAGTGAATCAGGCCTTCATGGTCAAATTGCTGCAAAGAAACCACTACTAAAATGGACACCAATAAGAAGAGGAGACTTGCTTGGGCCAAGAAACACAAGCAATGGACATCAGACCGGTGGAAATCTGTCCTTTGGTCTGATGAGTCCAAATTTGAGATTTTTGGTTCCAACCGCCGTGGCTTTGTGAGACGTGGTGTGGGTGAACGGATGATCTTCGCATGTGTATTTCCCACCGAAAAGCATGGAGGAGGTGGTGTTATGGTGTGGGGGTGCTTTGCTGGTGACACGGTCTGTGATTTATTTAGAATTCAAGGCGATACGCCATCCCATCTGGTTTACGCTTAGTGGGACTATCATTTGTTTTTCAACAAGACAATGATCCAACACACCTCCAGGCTGTGTAAGAGCTATTTTACCAAGAAGGAGAGTGATGGAGTGCTGCATCAGATGACCTGGCCTCCACAATCCCTCGACCTCAACCAAATTGAGATGGTTTAGGATGAGTCGGACCACAGAGTGAAGGAAAAGCAGCCAACAAGTGCTCAGCATATGTGGGAACTCCTTCAAGACTGTTGGAAAAGCATTCCAGGTGAAGCTGGTTGAGAGAATGCCAAGAGTGTGCAAAGCTGTCGTCAAGGCAAAGGGTGGCTATTGAAGAATCTCAAATATATTTTGATTTGTTGAAGACTTTTTTGATTACTTCATGATTCCATATGTGTTATTTAATAGTTTTGATGTCTTCACTATTATTCTACAATGTAGAAAAGAGTGAAAATAAAAACCCTTGAATGAGTAGGTGTGTCCAAACGTTTGACTGGTAGGTCAGTTAGGATCACCACTTTTTTTTATTTTAAGAATGTGAAATGTCAGAATAATAGTAGAGAGAATGATTTATTTCAGCTTTTATTTCTTTCGTCACATTCCCAGTGGGTCAGAAGTTTACATACACTCAATTAGTATTTGGTAGCATTGCCTTTAAATTGTTTAACTTGGGTCAAACGTTTCGGGTAGCCTTCCACAAGCTTCCCACAATAAGTTGGGTGAATTTTGGCCCATTCCTCCTGACAGAGCTGGTGTAACTGAGTCAGGTTTGTAGGCCTCCTTGCTCACACACCATTTATCAGTTCTGCCCACAAATGTTCTATAGGATTGAGGTCAGAGCTTTGTGATGGCCACTCCAATACCTTGACTTTGTTGTCCTTAAGCCATTTTGCCACAACTCTGGAAGTATGCTTGGGGTCATTGTCCATTTGGAAGACCCATTTGCGACCAAGCTTTAACTTCCTGACTGATGTCTTGAGACATTGCTTCAACATATCCACATAATTCTCCTTCCTCATGATGCCATCTATTTTGTGAAGTGCACCAGTCCCTCCTGCATCAAAGCACCCCCACAGCATGATGCTGCCACCCCGTGCTTCACGGTTGGGATGGTGTTCGTCGGCTTGCAAGCCACCTCCTTTTTCCTCCAAACATAAAGATGGTCATTATGGCCAAACAGTTCTATTTTTGTTTCATCAGACCAGAGGACATTTCTCCAAAAAGTACGATCTTTGTCCCCATGTGCAGTTGCAAACCGTAGTCTGGCTTTATGGCGGTTTTGGAGCAGTGGCTTCTTCCTTGCTGAGCGGCCTTTCAGGTTATGTCGATATAGGACTCGTTTTACTGTGGATATAGATACTTTTGTACCTGTTTCCTCCAGCATCTTCACAAGGTCCTTTGCTGTTGTTCTGTTCTATTCTGGTCAAGGATCATATCTCCTCTACCTTACCTGTCACCCTAGACCCACTTCAATTTCCTTACCGCCCCAATAGATCCACAGACGATGCAATCGCCATCACACTGTACACTGCCCTATCCCATCTGGACAAGAGGAATACCTATGTAAGAATGCTGTTCATTGACTACAGCTCAGCATTCAACACCATAGTACCCTCCAAGCTCATCATTAAGCTTGAGGCCCTGGGTCTGAACCCCGCCCTGTGCAACTGGGTCCTGGACTTCCTGACGGGCCGCCCCCAGGTGGTGAAGGTAAGAAACAATACCTCCACTACGCTGATCCTCAACACTGGGGCCCCACAAGGGTGCGTGCTCAGCCCCCTCCTGTACTCTCTGTTCACCCATGACTGCGTGGCCAAGCACGCCTCCAACTCAATCATCAAGTTTGCAGATGACACAACAGTAGTAGGCTTGATTACCAACAATGACGAGACCGCCTACAGGGAGGAGGTGAGGGCTCTGGGAGTGTGGTGCCAGGAAAATAACCTCTCACTCAACGTCAACAAAACAAAGGAGAAGATCGTGGACTTCAGGAAACGGCAGAGGGTGCACCCCCCTATCCACATCGACGGGACCGCAGTGGAGAAGGTGGAAAGCTTCAAGTTCCTTGGCGTACACAACACTGACAAACTGAAATGGTCCACCCACGCATACAGTGTGGTGAAGGAGGCCCAACAGAGCCTCTTCAACCTCAGGAGGCTGAATAAATTTGTCTTGGCACCTAAAACCCTCACAAACTTTTACAGATGCACAATTGAGAGCATCCTGTCGGGCTGTATCACCGCCTGGTATGGCAACTGCAGGGCTCTCCAGAGGGTGGTGCGGTCTGCCCAACATTACCGGAAGCAAACTACCCGCCCTCCAAGACACCTACAGCACACAATGTCACAGGAAGGCCAAAAAGATAATCAAGGACATCAACCAACCGAGTCACTGCCTGTTCACCCCGCTATCATCCAGAAGGCGAGGTCAGTACAGGTGCGTCAAAGCTGGGACCGAGAGAATGAAAAACAGCTTCTATCTCAAGGCCATCAGACTGTTAAATAGCCATCACTAGCACATTAGAGGCTGCTGCTGCCTATTGAAATCACTGGCCACTTTAAGAAATGGAACACTAGTCACTTTAATAATGTTTCCATATCTTGCACTACTCATCTCATATGTATATACTGCATTCTATTCTATAATATTCCACTGTATCTTAGTCCATGCCGCTCTGTCATTGCTTGTCCATATATGTATATATTCTTAAATTCCATTCCTTAATAGATGTGTGTGTATTGGGTATATGTTGTGAAATTGTTAGATATTACTGCACTGTCGGAGCTAGAAGCACAAGCATTTCGCTACACCTGCAATAACATCTGCTAAACACGTGTATGTGACAAATAAAATGTGATTTGATTTGAATTCCTTTGACCTCATGGCTTGGTTTTTGCTCTGACATGCACTGTCAACTGTGGGACCTTATATAGACAGGTGTGTGCCTTTCCAAATCATGTCCAATCAATTGATTTACCACAGGTGGACTCCAATCAAGTTGTAGAAACATCAAGGATGATCAATGAAAACAGGATGCACCTGAGCTCAATTTCGAGTCTCATAGCAAAGGGTCTGAATAGATTTTCAGTTTCCAGGAATTGTGTACAGATCCTTTCAACATGGGGTCGTGCATTATCATGCTGAAACATGAGGTGATGGCGGCGGATGAATGGCACGACAATGGGCCTCAGGATCTCGTGCATTCAAATTGCCATTGAGAAAATGCAAAGTGTGACCGTTGTCCGTAGCTTATGCCTGCCTATACCATAACCCCACCGCCACCATGGGGCACTCTGTTCACAACGTTGACATCAGCAAACCGCTCGCCCACACGACGCCATACACACTGTCTGCCATCTGCCCGGTACAGTTGAAACCGGGATTCATCCATGAAGAGCACACTTCTCCAGCGTGCCAGTGGCTATTGAAGGTGAGCATTTGCCCACTGAAGTCGGTTACGACGCCGAACTACAGGCAGGTCAAGACCCTGGTGAGGACGACGAACACGCAGATGAGCTTCCCTGAGACGGTTTCTGATAGTTTGTGTAGACATTCTTCGGTTGTGCAAACCCACAGTTTCATCAGCTGTCCGGGTGGCTGGTCTCAGATGGTCCTGCAGGTGAAGAAGCCGGATGTGGAGGTCCTGGGCTGGCGTGGTTACACGTGGTCTGCGGTTGTGAAGCAGGTTGGACATACTGCCAAAATCCCTAAAACAACGTTGGAGGTGGCTTATGGTAGAGAAATGAGCATTTAATTCTCTGGCAACAGCTCTGGTGGAAATGTCCTATTCAAAAGGGTCGGTCTCTAGACTTTAGGATGTGCTACAGGTCCAGAGGTATCCACAGACACTATTAAAAAGGCTTGAGAGCAGCAACTTGGTTCAGAAATATCAGTTGAGAAGTTGGTAGAAGCTCTCAGGAATATAAACCACAGTTCAGTGAATGCCAGACACAACATTTTTCCGTGTAAGGTGATACACAGGTTACATTACTCAAAGGTTAAACTGCATAAAATATTCCCAGATACCTCACCACTGTGTGAGGTGCCAGCAGGATGAGGGGACTTTGACCCACTTATTTTGGACATGACCTAAGTTACATGCTTACTGGGCTCTCCTTTTTGATGACTTATCTAAAGCCTTTGATAAAGCCCCAGACCCATTGATCGCTCTGTTTGGTACAGTTGATGGGAATAACCAGGAAGTTCTCTCTGTTTGGTACAGTTGATGGGAATAACCAGGAAGTTCTCTCTGCTGTCTCTCTGTTTAGTACAGTTGATGGGAATAACCAGGAAGTTCTCTCTGCTGTCTCTCTGTTTGGTACAGTTGATGGAAATAACCAGGAAGTTCTCTCTGCTGTCTCTCTGTTTGGTACAGTTGATGGGAATAACCAGGAAGTTCTCTCTGCTGTCTCTCTGTTTGGTACAGTTGATGGAAATAACCAGGAAGTTCTCTCTGCTGTCTCTCTGTTTGGTACAGTTGATGGGAATAACCAGGAAGTTCTCTCTGCTGTCTCTCTGTTTGGTACAGTTGATGGGAATAACCAAGAAGTTCTCTCTGCTGTCTCTCGGTTTGGTACAGTTGATGGGAATAACCAGGAAGTTCTCTCTGCTGTCTCTCTGTTTGGTACAGTTGATGGGAATAACCAGGAAGTTCTCTCTGCTGTCTCTCTTTGTCCTCTTTTAGCCAAAAAGCCTCATGTTGAAATGTTAGAAATCGGAGACCGTACCTACCTTTGAAATGTGGTTACAGGATTTAGGGAATGTAATGCAATGCATATCGGAAAAGATTGGATACAATACCTCCAATAGAAGTAAAATGTTTTTACAAAATATGGCAGACGATAATAGATAAATGGTCTCTCCATAACTGGGTTGATGATCTGCTGCCACGCTGTGCTCTGCTGCCACGCTGTGCTCTGCTGCCACGCTGTGCTCTGCTGCCACGCTGTGCTCTGCTGCCACGCTGTGCTCTGCTGCCACGCTGTGATCTGCTGCCACGCTGTGCTGTAGTCTCCATTCAATATGGATTTTTGGTTTAACTGCTTGTAATGACTATATGCCGTCTTATAATAGATGTACCACCTAATAGGATTGTTTATTTTATTTTTGTATGTTAAGTTTTGTCCTCTAAAGTTGCCATTCAACACTACAATGTTTCCATCTGTCTTTTTTTTATTAGAAAATAATAAACACATTAATATATATATATATAGACTGGACTGAGCCAGCCTGGTAATGTAATGCCAGCACTATACGGTGTGAGGGGAGTCTTACCTCTGCAGCAGACACAAAGGAGTCGTTGGAGGCGATGCTGATGGAGTCTCTGAGACAGGACACCTCATCATCCAGATCGTCGCTACAAAACACCGGAGTCTTACCTGAAACAAAATACAAGTCTATTGGTCGCGTACACAGTTTAGCAGATGTTATAGAGAGTGCAGCGAAATGCTTATGTTACTAGCTCCTAACAATGCAGTATAATGTCAAACAAGTACACAAATAATAATTTTAAAAAACAATAATCTAGAAATGTAAAACAAAGTATTCAGACCCCTACCCTTTTCCACATTTTTGTTACGATACAGCCTTAATCTAAAATATATTAAATAAATAAAAATGTCCTCAATGTACACATAATACCCCATAACGACAAAGCGAAAGCAGGATTTTAGAAATGTTTGCAAATTTATAAAAAAATACATAAAAAAATAAAATAATTATATCAACCTTATTTACATACGTTTTCAGACCCTTTGCTATGAGACTCGAAATTGAGCTCTGGTGGATCTTGTTTCCATTGATCATCCTTGAGATGTTTCTACAACTTGATTGAGTACACCTGTGGTAAATTCAATTGATTGGACATGATTTAGAAAGGGACACACCTGTCTATATAAGGTCCCACAGTTGACAGTGCATGTCAGAGAAAAAACCAAGCCATGAGGTCGAAGGAATTGTCCGTAGAGCTCTGAGACAGGATTGTGTCGAGGCCCAGATCTGGGGAAGGGTACCAAAACATTTTCTGAAGCATTGAAGGTCCCCAAGAACACAGTGGCCTCCATTAAATGGAAGTAGTTTGGAACCACCAAGACTCTTCCTCGAGCTGGCCGCCCGGCCAAACTGAGCAATCGGGGGAGAAGGGCCTTGGTCAGGGAGGTGACCAAGAACCCGATGGTCACTCTGAGAGCGTTCCAGAGTTCCTCTGTGGAGATGGGAGAACCTTCCAGAAGGACAACCATCTCTGCAGCACTCCACCAATCAGGCCTTTATGGTAGAGTGGCCAGACGGAAGCCACTCCTCAGTAAAAGGCACATGACAGCCCACTTGGAGTTTGCCAAAAGGCACCTAAAGGACTCTGACCATGAGAAACAAGATTCTCTGGTCTGATGAAACCACGATTGAACTCTTTGGCCTGAATGCCAAGTGTCACGTCTGGAGAAAATCTGGCACCATCCCTACGGTGAAGCATGGTGGTGGCAGCATCATGCTGTGGGGATGTTTTTCAGCGGCAGGGATTGGGAGACTAGTCAGGATCGAGGGAAAGATGAACAGAGCAAAGTAGAGAGATCCTTGATGAAAAACCTGCTCCAGAGCGCTCAGGACCTCAGACTGGGGCGAAGGTTCACCTTCTAACAGGACAACGACCCTAAGCACACAGCCAAGACAACGCAGGAGTGGCTTCGGGACAATTCTCTGAATGTCCTTGAGTGGCCCAGCCAGAGCCCGGACTTGAACCCGATCGAACATATCTGGAGAGACCTGAAAATAGCTGTGCAGCGACGCTCCCCATCCAACCTGACAGACCTTGAGAGGAACTGCAGAGAAGAATGGGAGAAACTCCCCAAATAAAGGTGTGCCAAGCTTGTAGGGTCATAGAAGACTCGATGCTGTAATCGCTGCCAAAGGTGCTTCAAAAGAGTACTGAGTAAAGGGTCTGAATACTTATGTAAATGTATTTCAATTTTTTCCTTTTCTTTTTTATACATTTGCAAAAATGTCTAAAACACCAGTTTTTCCTTTGACATTTTGGGGTATTGTGTGTTGATTGAGATTATTATTTAAAAAAAATGTTTAATCAAGTTTAGAATAAGCCTGTAACGTGGAAAAAGGGGTCTGAATACGTTCCGAATGCGCTGTATAGAGGGAACATTGGTCATGGCTCATCCTTTAAACTGCACACGTGCACGGCCGCGCACTTCCTCCAGGACTGGCGCTCTGAAGAAATGCCATGATGCGCAGAGATGCAAGAGATTGAACTTCACCGAGTTCGCACTATATAGATCAACGTTTTTTCTGTGATCGAATCAGCCCCTTTTCAATGCAACAAACCAAAACAAATCTAAAAACTTTTGTAAAACTGAGTCTGATGTTGTAGGCAGAGCCAGAGCGCAACGGGGTAGCCCACGAGGGGTCTTTCAAATCACCCGCGAGTGATTAGTTCAGATCAGAGCCGCACATGAACATCTTTTGATATTTTTTTTGCTAGTTAGCGAGTTATTAGCCCAGTTATAGATAAGTATAGGTCAGCAATGGGGAGTTAGATACTGCTTCCTACAAGAGCACAAAACGTGAAGGCTACATTTCAAGCTGTCTTTGAAAAGCCAGTCAGGTAAAAAAAAGCTTGTGTCTTAATTAAAAAGGGGCAGTGTTGAATTTTGAGACAGGCTTGAATATGCAGAGGAATAGCCTACATTGTCTTTGCAACTCTTTGTAAAGTAGTTTCTTGCACCATCATACAACACAATTTACAGTCACCTATTTGGCCCATTGTGTTACAGGCCAAGTAAAAAAAGAATTGATTCATGTCAAGCTACATAATGTAAAATAATAATAATAATAATAATAAGCCATTTAGCAGACGCTTTTATCCAAAGTGACTTACAGTCATGTGTGCATACATTTTTGTTGTGTATGGGTGGTCCCGGGGGATCGAACCCACTACCTTGGCGTTACAAGCGCCGTGCTCTACCAGCTGAGCTACAGAGGACCAAGCGCCGTGCTCTACCAGCTGAGCTACAGAGGACCAAGTGCCGTGCTCTACCAGCTGAGCTCCAGAGGACCAAGCGCCGTGCTCTACCAGCTGAGCTACAGAGGACCAAGTGCCGTGCTCTACCAGCTGAGCTACAGAGGACCAAGTGCCGTGCTCTACCAGCTGAGCTACAGAGGACCAAGTGCCGTGCTCTACCAGCTGAGCTACAGAGGACCAAGCGCCGTGCTCTACCAGCTGAGCTACAGAGGACCAAGTGCCGTGCTCTACCAGCTGAGCTACAGAGGACCAAGTGCCGTGCTCTACCAGCTGAGCTACAGAGGACCAAGTGCCGTGCTCTACCAGCTGAGCTACAGAGGACCAATCAGAGGACCACACGTTTTTAAAAAGGGTCATGCAATGTAGGCCTGCATTGAACACCACCTATAGGCTGCTGTAGGCTATATCATAGACACATCAAAAGCTATTTCCATGTGTAAATGTTATGGGATTCGCTCCATTGGTTTTGTAGGTAGGCCTACATTATGCTCAGATAGTAGCCTATAGTCTATTGTGGCTGTCTAAAACTGTCAGGGTACAGCCTGTTGGCTAATGTCTAAAACTGTCAGGGTACAGCCTCAGTGGAAACACGTGCTGGAAGTTGAACAAAAAAGTTCCACTCACAAGACCTCAAATTTGCTCAGTGCCCCAAAACATTAGAGGGAACATTGGCCACTTCTACCCCATCACCTCTACACGACACTGGAGTCTGAAACTAAATATTTTTTAAACACGCTATAGAACCACGCTACTACACACTAAAAATCATCATCATAAATCTCTACACGACACTGGAGTCTTATCTGAAACAAAATGGTTGAAACTATAACGTTGATGTCATGGACGGTCAGTCATTGCATCCATAGCTCTTGTCTATGAATTTGAGAGCGGTTACATTTCTCTAGCCTCAGCTGTTTTACCAAAAAAAAACAGTGGGGTGAAAGCTTTGTTACTGTTTGAACTGGAGATTGCCTCTTTAATGCATCTCTATGGAGACAACACAGATGCATAAATCACGTCTTGTCAACTCGTCAATAAGTGTGTAACAGTAGTACTTTGGCCTGGTTCCAGATGAGCCTGTAGGGTTTACTGACCAGTGGGGCCATGTGGAGACAGATGACTAGCAGGGTTTGATGAAGAGTTCACATCAGTAGAATGTGGAAGCAGCGTACTGAACTGCACGTCGCACAGAGCGCTTCGGAGTTGCTCACACCAGAACTATCACGTCATGGAAAATATCCTCTGTGTGTGTGAGTACGGTTTGAGTGTGTGTGTGTGACGGAGTGAGTTTATATCCCTGTGTGTGTGTGTGTATATGTGTGTGTGACGGAGTGAGTTTATATCCCTGTGTGAGTGTGTGTGTGTGTGTGTGTGTGTGTGTCCCTTTCCGTGTGTGTCTGGCTGTGTGTCTGGCTGTGTGTGTGTGTGTGTCTGGCTGTGTGTGTGTGTCTGGCTGTGTGTGTGTGTGTGTGTGTCTGGCGTGGTGTGTGTGTGTGTTGTGTGTGTGTGTGGTGTGTGGTGTGTCTGGCTGTGTGTGTGTGTGTGTGTGTGTGTCTGGCTGTGTGTGTGTGTGTGTGTGTGTGTGTGTGTGTCTGGCTGTGTGTGTGTATGTCCCTTTCCGTGTGTGTCTGGCTGTGTGTGTGTCTGGCTGTGTGTGTGTGTGTGTGTGTGTCTGGCTGTGTGTGTGTGTGTGTGTGTGTCTGGCTGTGTGTGTGTGTGTGTGTGTGTGTGTGGCTGTGTGTGTGTGTGTGTGTGTGTGTGTGTGTGTGTGTGTGTCTGGCTGGCTGTGTGTGTGTGTGTGTGTGTGTGTGTGTGTGTGTGTGTGTGTGTGTGTCTGGCTGTGTGTGTGTGTGTGTGTGTGTGTGTGTCTGGCTGTGTGAGCGGTCTCACCGTGGCTGCCGCTGTGTGAGGAAGGTTCCGGAATGCTCAAAGCTCCTTCAAACTCCTCCTGTAGTCTGTACGCTCTCTGGAGGAGACACTCCATCTTATGGATAAACTCTGCACTGATAAGGTCCTGACCAGGAAGACACAGATATCAAAGATGTTACAAGAACACAACTTTATGCACACACAGTACATACTGCACTCCCATACATACACACCCTACTAGACACATATTCTAGCTACATACACAAACGGACCCCAGCCAACCCCAAGACCAGACAGAGAGAGAGACCGAGAGAGAGAGACACCAGACAGAGAGAGACACCAGACATAGAGAGACACCAGACAGAGAGACACCAGACAGAGAGAGACACCAGACAGAGAGAGACACCAGACATAGAGACACCAGACACCAGACAGAGAGAGACACCAGACAGAGAGAGACACCAGACAGAGAGAGACACCAGACATAGAGAGACACCAGACATAGAGAGACACCAGACAGAGAGAGACACCAGACAGCGAGAGACACCAGACAGCGAGAGACACCAGACAGCGAGAGACACCAGACAGAGAGAGACACCAGACAGAGAGAGACACCAGACAGAGAGAGACACCAGACATAGAAGAGACACCAGACATAGAGAGACACCAGACAGAGAGACACCAGACAGAGAGAGACACCAGACAGAGAGAGACACCAGACAGAGAGAGACACCAGACAGAGAGAGACACCAGACAGAGAGAGACACCAGACATAGAGACACCAGACATAGAGAGAGACACCAGACAGAGAGAGACACCAGACAGAGAGAGACACCAGACAGAGAGAGACACCAGACAGAGAGAGACACCAGACAGAGAGAGACACCAGACAGAGAGAGACACCAGACAGAGAGAGACACCAGACAGAGAGAGACACCAGACAGAGAGAGGCACCAGACAGAGAGAGACACCAGACATAGAGAGACACCAGACATAGAGAGACACCAGACAGAGAGAGACACCAGACATGCTCCCTCTAATTCTCTCTCTCTCTCTCTCTCTCCCTCCCTCCCCTCCCAGAGGACCTGAGCCCTATGACCATGCCTCAGGACTACCTGGCCTGATGACTCCTGGCTGTCCCCAGTCCACCTGGTCGTGCTGCTGCTCCAGTTTCAACTCTTCTGCCTGCGGCTATGGAACCCTGACCTGTTAACCGGACGTGCTACCTTGTCCCAGACCGGCTGTTTTTGACTCTCTCTACCGCACTTGCTGTCTCGACCTCTGAATGACCCTGCTGGTCATCTATGAACGTTTGAACGTCTTGAAGAACGATCTGGCCTTAATGGCCATGTACTCTTATAATCTCCACCCGGCACAGCCAGAAGAGGACTGGCCACCCCTCAGAGCCTGGTTCCTCTCTAGGATTCTTCCTAGGTTCCTGCCTTTCTAGGGAGTTTTTCCTAGCCACCGTGCTTCTATATCTGCATTGCTTGCTGTTTGGGGTTTTAGGCTGGGTTTCTACACTTAGAGATTCCACAAGTAGCTACAGTTGATTGTAAAATGTTTGGCATACCGATACGTTCTCCCCTCCACACTCTCCTCTCTGATGGTGTCTCCAGCCCCAGTGTTCCCCTCTACACTCTCCTCTCTGATGGTGTCTCCAGCTCCAGTGTTCCCCTCTACACTCTCCTCTCTGATGGTGTCTCCAGCCCAGTGTTCCCCTCCAACTCTCCTCTCTGATGGTGTCTCCAGCTCCAGGTTCCCCCCACACTCTCCTCTCTGAGGTGTCTCCAGCTCCAGTGTTTCCCCTCTACACTCTCCTCTCTGATGGGTCTCCAGCCCCAGTTTTGGGTTTCCCCCCACACTCTCCCCTCTGATGGGTCTCCAGCTCCAGTGTTTCCCCCCTACACTCTCTCTCTGTGTGTCTCCAGCTCCAGGGGTTCCCCCCTACACTCTCCTCTCTGATGGGTCTCCAGCCCAGGTGTTCCCCTCTACACTCCTCTCTGATGGGTCTCCAGCCCCAGTGTTCCCCTACAACTCTCCTCTCTGATGGCGTCTCCAGCCCAGTGTGTTCCCCTCTCACTCTCCTTCTGGGTCTCCAGCCCCATGTTCCCCTCTACACTCTCCTCTCTGATGGGTCTCAGCCCAGTGTTTCCCTCTACACTCTCCTCTCTTATGGGTCTCCAGGCCCCGTGTTCCCCTCTACACTCCCTCTCTAAAGGGGTCTCCCGCCCCATGTGTTCCCCTCTAACTCCCTCTCTGATGGCGTTTTCCCGCCCCAGTGTTCCCTCTACACTCTCCTCTCTGATGGCGTCTCCAGCCCAGTGTTCCCCTCACACCTCCTCTCTGATTTTTTTTTTTTGGCGTCTCCAGCCCCAGTGTTCCCCCCTACACTCTCCTCTCTGTGGCGTCTCCAGCCCAGTGTGTTCCCCTCTACACTCTCCTCTCTGATGGGTCTCCGCCCCAGTGTTCCCCTCTACACTCTCCTCTCTGATGGGTCTCCAGCCCCAGTGTTCCCCTCTACACTCTCCCTCTCTGATGGTGTCTCCAGCCCCAGTTTCCCCTCTACACTCTCCTCTCTGATGGTGTCTCCAGCCCCAGTGTTCCCCTCTACACTCTCCTCTCTGATGGCGTCTCCAGCCCCAGTGTGTTCCCCTCTACACTCTCCTCTCTGATGGCGTCTCCAGCCCCAGTGTTCCCCTCTACACTCTCCTCTCTGATGGCGTCTCCAGCCCCAGTTGTTTCCCTCTACACTCTCCTCTCTGATGGTCGTCTCCAGCCCCAGTGTTCCCCTCTACACTCTCCTCTCTGATGGCGTCTCCAGCCCCAGTGTGTGTTTCCCTCTACACTCTCCTCTCTGATGGCGTCTCCAGCCCCAGTTATTTCCCCTCTACACTCTCCTCTCTGATGGCGTCTCCAGCCCCAGTTATTTCCCCTCTACACTCTCCTCTCTGATGGCGTCTCCAGCCCCAGTGTGTTCCCCTCTACACTCTCCTCTCTGAGTGCTCTCCAGCCCCAGTGTTCCCTCTACACTCTCCTCTCTGATGGCGTCTCCAGCCCCAGTGTTCCCTCTACACTCTCCTCTCTGATGCGCCAGTTCCCTTACACTCTCTCTTGAGGTCTCCAGCCCCAGTGTTCCCCTCTACACTCTCCTCTCTGATGGCGTCTCCAGCCCCAGTGTGTTCCCCTCTACACTCTCCTCTCTGATGGCGTCTCCAGCCCCAGTGTTCCCTACACTCATCTCCACAGCTCTCACTTCTCTCTGATGGCGTCTCCCACCCCAGGTGTTCCCTCTACACTCTCCTCTCTGATGGCGTCTCCAGCCCCGTTGTTCCCCTCTACACTCTCCTCTCTGATGGTGTCTCCAGCCCCAGTGTTCCCCTCTACACTCTCCTCTCTGATGGCGTCTCCAGCCCCAGTGTTCCCCTCTACACTCTCCTCTCTGATGGCGTCTCCAGCCCCAGTTGTTCCCCTCTACACTCTCCTCTCTGATGGGGTTCTCCAGCCCCAGTGTGTTCCCCTCTACACTCTCCTCTCTGATGGTGTCTCCAGCCCCAGTTGTTCCCCTCTACACTCTCCTCTCTGATGGTGTCTCCAGCCCCAGTGTTCCCCTCTACACTCTCCTCTCTGATGGCGTCTCCAGCCCCAGTGTTTCCCCTCTACACTCTCCTCTCTGATGGCGTCTCCAGCCCCAGTGTGTTCCCCTCTACACTCTCCTCTCTGATGGCGTCTCCAGCCCCAGTGTTCCCCTCTACACTCTCCTCTCTGATGGCGTCTCCAGCCCCAGTGTTCCCCTCTACACTCTCCTCTCTGATGGCGTCTCCAGCCCCAGTGTTCCCTCCTACACTCTCCTCTCTGATGGCGTCTCCAGCCCCAGTGTTTCCCCTCTACACTCTCCTCTCTGATGGTGTCTCCAGCCCCAGTGTTCCCCTCTACACTCTCCTCTCTGATGGTGTCTCCACCCCAGTGTTTCCCCTCTACACTCTCCTCTCTATGGGCGTCTCCAGCCCCGTGTTCCCCTCTACACTCTCCTCTCTGATGGCGTCTCCAGCCCCAGTGTTCCCCCCCTACACTCTCCTCTCTGATGGCGTCTCCAGCCCCAGTTATTTCCCCTCTACACTCTCCTCTCTGATGGCGTCTCCAGCCCCAGTGTTCCCCTTCACACTCTCCTCTCTAATGGTGTCTCCAGCCCCAGTGTTTCCCCTCCACACTCTCCTCTCTGATGGTGTCTCCAGCCCCAGTGTGTTCCCTCTACACTCTCCTCTCTGATGGCGTCTCCAGCCCCAGTTGTTCCCCTCTACACTCTCCTCTCTGATGGTGTCTCCAGCCCCAGTGTTCCCCTCTACACTCTCCCTCTCTGATGGCGTCTCCAGCCCCAGTGTGTTCCCCTCTACACTCTCCTCTCTGATGGCGTCTCCAGCCCCAGTGTGTTCCCCTACACCTCCTTTTGGTTCTCCAGCCAGTGTTCCTCTACACTCTCCTCTATGGCGTCTCCAGCCCAGTGTGTTCCCCCCCTCTACACTCTCCTCTCTGATGGCGTCTCCAGCCCAGTGTGTTCCCCTCTACACTCTCCTCTCTGATGGCGTCTCCAGCCCCAGTGTTCCCCTCTACACTCTCCTCTCTGATGGTGTCTCCAGCTCCCAGTGTTCCCCTCTACCACTCTTCTCTTCTGATGGCAGTCTCCAGCCTCCCAGTGTGTTCCCCTCTTACAACTCTCCTCTCTGATGGCGTCTTCCAGCCCCAGTGTGTTCCCCTCTACCCACTCTCCCTCTTCTGGATGATGGCGTCATCCCGCTCCCCAGTGTGTTCCCCTCTACACTCTCCTCTCTGATGGCGTCTCCAGCCCCAGTGTGTTCCCCTCTACACTCTCCTCTCTGATGGCGTCTCCAGCCCCAGTGTTCCCTCTACACTCTCCTCTCTGATGGCGTCTCCAGCCCCAGGGGTTCCCCTCTACACTCTCCTCTCTGATGGCGTCTCCCAGCCCCAGTGTTGTTCCCCTCTCACCCATCTCCTCTCTGATGGCGTCTCATGCCCCAGTTTTTTCCCCGCTACTCACTTCTCCTCTTGATGGCGTCTACCAGCCCCAGTTGTTCCCATCCACACGCTCCTCTCTGAATGGTGTCTCCAGCTCCAGTTGTGTTCCCTCTACACTCTCCTCTCTGATGGCGTCTCCAGCCCCAGTGTGTTCCCCTCTACACTCTCCTCTCTGATGGTGTCTCCAGCCCCAGTGTTCCCTCTACACTCTCCTCTCTGATGGCGTCTCCAGCCCCAGTGTGTTCCCCTCTACACTCTCCTCTCTGATGGCGTCTCCAGCCCCAGTGTGTTCCCCTCTACACTCTCCTCTCTGATGATGTCTCCAGCCCCAGTGTGTTCCCCTCTACACTCTCCTCTCTGATGGTGTCTCCAGCTCCAGTGTGTTCCCCTCTACACTCTCCTCTCTGATGGCGTCTCCAGCCCCAGTGTTCCCCTCTACACTCTCCTCTCTGATGGTGTCTCCAGCCCCAGTGTTCCCCTCTACACTCTCCTCTCTGATGGCGTCTCCAGCCCCAGTGTGTTCCCCTCTACACTCTCCTCTCTGATGGCGTCTCCAGCCCCAGTGTGTTCCCCTCTACACTCTCCTCTCTGATGGCGTCTCCAGCCCCAGTGTGTTCCCCTCTACACTTTTCCCCTCTACACTCTCCTCTCTGATGGCGTCTCCAGCCCCAGTGTTTCCCTCTACACTCTCCTCTCTGATGGCGTCTCCAGCCCCAGTGTGTTCCCCTCTACACTCTCCTCTCTGATGGCGTCTCCAGCCCCAGTGTGTTCCCCTCTACACTCTCCTCTCTGATGGCGTCTCCAGCCCCAGTGTTCCCCTCTACACTCTCCTCTCTGATGGCGTCTCCAGCCCCAGTGTGTGTGTTCACCTCTACACTCTCCTCAGCTGTGAAGTCTCCAGCCTCCGGTTGAACAGAGGCACAGTCTGTCTCCTCCTCCCCTGGTCTGCCACTAAAGGTTAAGGCCTGCTCCCACCGCCTCAGAGCCTCCTCAAACAGCCCCATACCTGGCAGACAACACACATTATAAACCCGGGAAGGTCGGGTCCTGGATGCTGATTGGATGAAAACAGCATTTATAACCACAGGTATAATGCAAAAAAATACTACTTTTACTTTTGCATTTATGTTAGTAACTATTTTATAATAGCAATAAGGCACCTTGGGGTTTATGGTATATGTGCGTCTGTGTGTTAATCTGTGTGTGTGTGCTTGTGTGTGTGTGTGTGTGTGTACACGTCGTGCCTAACAGCCCTTAGACGTGGTATATTGGCCATATACCCTGGGCCTTACTGCTTAAATATACCCCCCCCCCCCCAGGACCTTACTGCCCAATTATAAAACACACACCAACGCAAGGCCCCCTCAACACAAGCAAGACCAGTGTGTGCGTGTGTTCTCACCCAAGAGGTAGAGGTTTTCAGGCGTGGTAACAGGGATGTTGACTACATTACAGTGCTCTTCATCCCAGCAGGTACAGGATGAGTTCATACTATTTACCTGGTGGAAGAAACCGTCAGTCAATAGAAGAACACCACATTCAGCAATCCAAGTCATTTGGAATCTTTCGTCGACCACATCAGCTGAGAAATTCCTATTGAATTGACTGATGAGGAAATATTGACCCCTTCTGGTAAACAGTAGCAAATTCCAACTGTGGATCATATCTGTGTGGTCTTACCGAGGCCAGACTCTGTAGTGACACAGACAGCTTGCTGTGAGGTCCTCCGTTGGGTACAAGGCCACAGGAGTAGATATTCTTACAGTTCTGGAAACTGTAGGCATCTACACATGCAAAACGACAGTCAGGTTTCATTAGAATTCTTTAATGATGCAATATTTAAAATGACTATTGCCACTTCTTATTTAAATGACTTTAAAAATCAGAGGAAACTGAGTCTCTTCACTCCAGTCAACTAGCTGGATCCCAAGGAGAAACGTAACTTTCACTAACCATCTTCCTATTCTGGGTCAGGTGTATAAGTAGGTACATTTCTCCATCTTTACCTTTCTCCTGGTGGACTACCAGGTCCAGGAACTCCAAGGTCCCCGTCTGCTCCCACTGGACTGGGGACTGGACTCCCTTCTTCCTGCCTTTCCTCCTCTGGAAGTGACGGGCGAGGAAGAGGAGACACACTGCGCTGAAGGCTGTAGCAGCAACGACCTTCTTAGTGACTGTACTGATGCTCACCACCTGGGGGAGGAAAGACAGCCGAGCGATGAGGAGAGAGAGAGAGAGAGAGAGAGAGAGATGCAGAGAGGGACGGTAAAAATGTGCATAATGAGTCATTCCTTAGGCACAGAAGACAAGTAAGCGGACTGAGACAGGGAGGGAGGGACTACTGCAAAACGTTTACCATTACAGTGATGGCAGGAAGCAGACTTTACAATGTCCAGCTACAGTGGCTTGCGAAAGTATTCACCCCCCCCCCCATTGGCATTTTTCTTATTTTGTTGCCTTACAACCTGGAAGGAAAATTGATTTTTTGGGGGGTTTGTATCATTTGATTTACACAACATGCCTACCACTTTGAAGATGCTAAATATTTTATTGTGAAACAAACAAGAAATAAGACATAAAAACTGAAAACTTGAGCGTGCATAACTATTCACCAAAGACAATACTTTGTAGAGCCACCTTTTGCAGCAATTACAGCTGCAAGTCTCTTGGGGTATGTCTCTATAAGCTTGGTACATCTAGCCACTGGGATTTTTGCCCATTCTTTAAGGCAAAACTGCTCCAGCTCCTTCAAGTTGGATGGGTTCCGCTGGTGTACAGCAATCTTTAAGTCATACCAGAGATTCTCAATTGGATTGAGGTCTGGGCTTTGACTAGGCCATTCCAAGACATTTAAATGTTTCCCCTTAAACCACTCGAGTGTTGCTTTAGCAGTATGCTTAGGGTCATTGTCCTGCTGGAAGGTGAACCTCCGTCCCAGTCTCACATCTCTGGAAGACTGAAACAGGTTTCCCTCAAGAATTTCCCCATATTTAGCGCCATTCATCATTCCTTCAATTCTGACCAGTTTCCCAGTCCCTGCCGATGAAAAACATCGGAGATGGTGTTCTCGGGGTGATGAGAGGTGTTGGGTTTGCGCCAGACATAGCGTTTTCCTTGATGGCCAAAAAGCTCAATTTTAGTCTCACCTGACCAGAGTACCTTCTTCCATATGTTTGGGGAGTCTCTCACATGCCTTTTGGCAAACACCAAACAGCTTTTTCTGGCCACTCTTCCGTAAAGCCCAGCTCTGTGGAGTGTAAATCTTAAAGTGGTCCTATGGACAGATACTCCAATCTCCGCTGGGGAGCTTTGCAGCTCCTTCAGGGTTATCTTTGGTCTCTTTGTTGCCTCTCTGATTAATGCCCTCCTTGCCTGGTCCGTGAGTTTTGGTGGGCGGCCCTCTCTTGGCAGGTTTGTTGGGTGTCATATTCTTTCAATTTTTTAATAATGGATTTAAAAATGGTGCTCCGTGGGATGTTCTGATATTTTTTTTTAATCCACACTGCCAAAGCTGACACTCCTCTGTTCTCATCCTCCTAGATCCATCTGCTGCCTTTGACACCGTGAACCAACCAGATCCTCCTGTCCACCCTCTCAGGGCTGGGCGTCTCAGGCTCTGCACACTCCTGGATTGCATCCTACCTGACAGGTCGCTCCTACCAGGTGGACGTGGAGAGGACTGACAGGTCGCTCCGACCAGGTGACGTGGAGAGGATCTGTGTCCACCACGTGCCCTTACTACTGGGGTCCCCCAGGGCTTGGTTCTAGGCCCTCTCCTCTATCAAGTCAGCTGCCGCAGTCATATCCTCTCATGGTCTCTCCTATCTTTGCTATGTAGATGACACTACTTTTCTCATTCCCCTTCCGAAACTCAGGTGACGACGTGCATTTCTGCATGCCAGATATCTCAGCTTGGAAGTCGGCCCACCACCTCAAGCTCAACAAGACAGAGCTGCTCTTCCTCCCAAGGAAGGCGTGCCCGCTTCAAGACCTCTCGATCACGGTTGACGCCACTGTGTACCCCTCCCAGAGTGCAAAGAACATTGGCGTGACCCTGGACAACGTCAAAACAGTGACTCACTGCTGCAGGTTCATGTTCCACAACATCCGTAGAGTACGACCTTACTCACTAAGTACTGTGCTAGGTGGTAGTCTCACCTAGCCATCTTAAGATGAATGCACTAACTAAGTCGCTCTGGATAAGAGCTTCTGCTAAATGACTAAAATGTAATATGAATGGTTTATCTACGTCAGTTCACACCACCTAATGCCACAGACGCAACATAAAACAAGTGCAGTATTTCTCAATGAATAAATATGCATGAAAACAAGTAGTCTCTCGTTGAATGACAGACTTTTTGAAGAATCTCTACTGTCGACGAAGGGGCCTAGATTCTGCTCCCAACTTTGGCTTGATGTGTGCCTGAACAGCTGAAAAGTCCAAAATGAACAAAAGTCGTCATTATATATGCACAAACTCTTCCGAACTGTTTCGGCTTGGAAGCACGCGGATGCCTTTATGCAACCACAACAACGGCACATAGGGAAGGAGCCCATCTCCTGTTTTTGTAGTGTGAGGCAGCTTGATGTTCAAGTGCACACCCTGGACAGGACGCTTGTCCGTCACATGGCCTTCCCCACAATCCATCTCCTTAATGCTGAGTGCCGAGCAGAGGCATCGAGTCCCATTTTTAGAGTCTTTGGTATGACTCGACCTGGGATCAAACCCACAACCCTCGACCGGGGATTGAACAAACAGATTCAGAGCAGACACTAACCACAAGGCCACTGAGTTGGCTCATATTGTCAATGGTAGATTCTTACCTGTGAGAGGGAGTTGTAGAGGGTATGGGGCAGGCTGACCACGCGGATGGCTGCCAGCTGGAAGGACAGCTTGGAGGAGGGGCTAATGAGGGCGTTGTCTGTCATCGTAGCGGTCTTATCTGTCCATCACCCTGCAGTAGGGAACACAGTCCTATCCTCTTCCTTCTTCTTGAGCTGTGGAGGAGAGGACATAAGACTTAGGCTTTAACCTGGAACCAGGGCCTAAAATTAACTTTTTGGTCCACCAGCCACTGTGGCAGGTAGATGATGATTGTTTTTTAACTAGCCAAAATATTTTTTCCCCCCCTACTCAACTACATAACAACAAAACAGATGACCACGCGTTGCAGTGTTTCTAAAACATGAAATGTATTAGTAAGAAGTAAATGTAGTACATTGCTGAATTATTTCATTTAGTCGTCTAATCAAAATATTTTCAGCTGCCCCTTTAAGGGCGGGAGGTTACCGTGGTAACGGGGCCACTCGAGTCCTGTCACATGAAGAATGGCGCCGGAGGAGATGGCTGCCGTTTTACGGGCTCCTAACCAATTGTGCTGTTGTGTGTGTTTTATTGCGTTATTTGTAACTTATTTTGTACATAATGTTTCTGCCACCGTCTCTTATGACCGAAAAGAGCTTCTGGATATCAGGACAGCGATTACTCACCTTGTACTGGATGAATACTTTTTCTTTAACGAGTCGGACGCAAACAATTTTCTTCAGACACCCGACAAGGCCCAAATCCCCGTCATTCGCATGAGAAAGAGAGCGATATCGGGGACGGAGGTCAGGGGTGCCTTGTAAGGATCCGACGGCGAGTGGGTAATGTGCCTCTACCATCAGTCCTATTGGCCAACGCACAATCATCGGATAACAAAATAGACTAACTACGATCACGGATATCCTACCAACGGGACATTAGAAACTGTAATCTCTTATGTTTCACTGAGTCGTGGCTGAATGACGACATGGATAACATACAGCTAGCGGGCTATACGCTACATCGGCAGGATAGAACGGCTGACTCCGGTAAGACAAGGGGTGGCGGTCTGTGTATATTTGTAAACAACAGCTGGTGCACAAAAGCAAATACTAAGGAAGTCTCAAGGTTTTGCTCGCCTGAGGTAGAGTATCTCATGATAAGCTGTAGACCACACTATCTACCAAGAGAGTTTTCATCTATATTCTTCGTAGCTGTCTATTTACCACCACAAATTGATGCTGGCACTAAGACCACACTCAATGAACTGTATAAGGCCATAAGCAAACAGGAAAACGCTCATCCAGAGGCGGCGCTCCTAGTGGCCGGTGACTTTAATGCAGGGAAACTTAAATCCGTTCTACCTAATTTCTACCAGCATGTTAAATGTGCAACCAGAGGAAAAAGAACTCTATACCACCTTTACTCCACACACAGAGACACATACAAAGCTCTCCCTCCATTTGGCAAATCTGACCAAAACTCTATCCTCCTGATTACAAGCAAAAACTAAAGCAGGAAGCACCAGTGACTCGGTCAATAAAGAAGTGGTCAGATGACGCAGATGCTAAGCTACAGGACTGTTTTGCTGGCACAGACTGGAATATGTTCCGGGATTCTTCCGATGGCATTGAGGAGTATACCACATCAGTCACTGGCTTCATCAATAAGTGCATTGATGACGTTGTCCCCACAGTGACCGTACGTACATATCCCAACCAGAAGCCATGGATTACAGGCAACATCCGCACTGAGCTAAAAGGGTAGAGCTGCCGCTTTCAAGGAGCGGGACTCTAACCTGGACGCTTATAAGAAATCCCGCTAAGCCCTCCGACAAACCATCACACAGGCAAAGCATCAATACAGGACTAAGACTGAATCGTGCTACACCGGCTCTGACGCTCGTCGGATGTGGCAGAGCTTGCAAACTATTACAGACTACAAAGGGAAGCACAGCCGCGAGCTGCCCAATGACACGAGCCTACCAGACAAGCTTACTTCTATGCTCGCTTCGAGGCAAGCGACACTGAAACATGCATGAGAGCATCAGTTGTTCCGGACGACTGTGTGATCACGCTCTCCGTAGCCGATGTGAGGAAGACCTTTAAACAGGTCAACATTCACACACGGATTACCAGGACGTGTACTCAGAGCATGCGCTGACCAACTGGCAAGTGTCTTCACTGACATTTTCAACCTGTCCCTGACTGAGTCAATAATACCAACATGTTTCAAGCAGACCACCATGGTCCCTGTGCCCATGAACGCGAAGGTAACCTGCTTAAATGACTACTGCCCCGTAGCACTCACGTCGGTAGTCATGAAGTGCTTTGAAAGGCTGGTCATGGCTCACATCAACACCATTATCCCAGAAACCCTAGACCCACTCCAATTTGCATACCGCCCCAACAGATCCACAGATGATGCACTCTCTATTGCACTCCACACTGCCCTTTCCCACCTGGACAAAAGGAACACCTACGTGAGAATGCTATTCATTGACTACAGCTCAGCGTTCAACACCATAGTGCCCTCAAAGCTCATCACTAAGCTAAGGACCCTGGGACTAAACACCTCCCTCTGCAACTGGATCCTGGACTTCCTGACGGACCACTCCCAGGTGGTAAGGGTAGGTAACAACACATCTGCCACGCTGATCTTCAACACGGGGGCCCCTCATGGGTGCGTGTTCAGTCCCCTCCTGTACTCCCTGTTCACCCATGACTCCGTGGCCAGGCACGATTCCAACACCTTCATTAAGTTTGCCGACGACACAACAGTGGTAGGCCTGATCACCAACAACGATGAGACAGCCTATAGGGAGGAGGTCAGAGACCTGGCCATGTGGTGCCAGGATAACAACCTCTCCCTCAACGTGACCAAGACAAAGGAGATGATTGAGAACTGAACTACAGGAAAAGAAGGACAGAGCATGCCCCCATTCTCATCGACGGGGCTGTAGTGGAGCAGGTTGAGAGCTTCAGGTTCCTTGGTGGCCACATCACCAACAAACTATCATGGTCCAAACACACCAAGACAGTCGTGAAGAGGGCACGACAAAGCCTATTCCCCCTCAGGAGACTGAAAAGATTTGGCATGGGTCCTCAGATCCTCAAAAACGTATACAGCTGCACCGTCGAGAGCATCCTGACTGGTTGCAACACCGCCTGGTATGGCAACTGCTCGGCCTCCGACCGCAAGGCACTACAGGGGGTAGTGCGTACGGCCCAGTACATCACAAGAAGAGACTTGCTTGGGCCAAGAAACACAAGCAATGGACATTAGACCAGTGGAAATCTGTCCTTTGGTCTGGAGTCCAAATTGGAGATTTTTGGTTCCAACTGCCATGACATTGTGAGACGCAGAGTAGGTGAATGGATGATGTCCCACCGTGAAGCATGGAGGAGGTGTGATGGTGTGGGGGTGCTTTGCTGGTGACAGTCTGTGATTTATTTAGAATTCAAGGCACACTTAACCAGCATGGCTACCACAGCATTCTGCAGCGATACGCCATCCCATCTGGTTTTAGCTTAGTGGGACTATCATTTGTTTTTCAACAGGACAATGACCCAACACACCTCCAGGCTGTGTAAGGGCTATTTGACCAAGAAGGAGAGTGATGGAGTGCTGCATCAGATGACCTGGCCTCCACAAATCACCCAACCTCAACCCAATCGAGATGGTTTGGGATGAGTTGGACCGCAGAGTGAAGGAAAAACAGCCAACAAGTGCTCAGGATATGGGAACTCCTTCAAGACTGTTGGAAAAGCATTCCTTATGAAGCTGGTTGAGAGAATGCCAAGCGTGTGCAAAGCTGTCATCAAGGCGGCTATTTGAAGAATATAAAATAACATATTTTGATTTGTTTAACACTTTTTTTGGTTACTACATGATTCATACATGATGTGTTATTTCATAGTTTTGTTGTCTTCACTTTTATTCTACAATGTAGAAAAACCCTGGAATGAGTAGGTGTGTCCAAACATTTGACTGGTACTGTATATAATAAAAAGTGACCTGTTTTGCATGTTATTTTGGCATTAATTCGTGTTACAGATCAGTTTGAAACAATATAAAAAAAATAAAAAAAAATATCCTTCAGTTAACAAAATGCAGCTCAGTGCCCAGCTGTGGTGCTTTCCGAGTGGCGCAGTGGTCTAAGGCACTGCATCGCAGTGCTAGCTGTGCCACTAGAGATCCTCGTTCGAATCCAGGCTCTGTCGTAGCTGGCCGCGACCGGGAGACCCTTGGGGCGGTGCACAATTGGCCCAGCATCGTCCAGGGTAGGGGAGGGAATGGCCGGCAGGGATGTAGCTCAGTTGGTAGAGCATGGCGTTTGCAAAGCCAGGGTTGTGGGTTCGATTCCCACGGGGGGGTATGAAAAAAATTATAATAATGTATGCACTCACTAACTGTAAGTCGCTCTGGATAAGAGCATCTGCTAAAATGACTAAAATGTCATGTAAAATGTGGAGTGGGCAGCCAGCGAAACCACAGAGTGTGGGCGTTGGCAATCTTCTTTAGTTGCGCCGTGATTGGCTCAGTGTTCTGTCACTCATGGGGACACTACATCGCTGCAGAATCTACAGGGAGAGCTCGGCAGTTCAAGCCCCCTCGGGTGCTGCCAGACATTCACATTAGAAGACAAGCAGTCATCATGAATCACGTCGACACTCCACTGGCAAATCCTTGTCATATGAAGAGAAAATGATAGATAAAAACGTATCGGGTGCTCATCGGTTGTATTTTCTTTCTTTAGACCACATAGGCCGAATAAACATACTTCAAATGTTTCTCTCTCAGTAAAGTTAAGGTCTCAACGTCTTGCTAAATTGATCTAACATCTGAATTTCTGTCGGTCCATTTTTGAAAGTGCTGAAGGATGGCCTACCTAGTCGAAGCTCTTTTGCTTGCACTAGCTTATACTTAATGATACAAGAACAAACATAAGAATTTACTAAACATAAATATAATAATGTTTGTGTATGGTTCAAAAGTCATGCTGGCGTTCGTTATTATCGAAGGAGAAATGCGGTTCTTATCAAGTTACACAAATCCACAAGGAGTCAGTAGAAACCATATTTATTTAAGCAAGTCAGCCATGGATTTTGGCCGTAAGTAAACGAGGCTGAATGAACTGTTTCGCTGCCAGACAAGACTCCTCTGATAGCCAGGTGTAGCAGTGGTAAGGTGTTG